AACGGCCTTTAAGACACAGTAGGACCATCTTTTCATGGTAAACTCAAAGATAAGACCTGGCAAAAACAATCCAAAGGCAAGAAAAGCTCTGTGATGAGGGCTAGAGGCAGGGTCCTTAGCATAAAACCCAACAAGAAGAAAGGTAATTAAAAGGTAATTAAGTGTAACCTATCATGTTAAAACATAGATTTGGTAAAATGTTATCCTTTTAACTTCATAATGCTCCCAGACAGGATTAGAGAACATAATGTTCCCTTCCATTCTGCACTTCCACAGATAATGCAGATGCTACCCTGTTTTAATAGGATAATTACACAGATGCCTGCTAGCAGTGCTCCCTGTTTGTTAAAATTCCCTTTAGATCTTCTGCTTTCAGTTGAAGCAGCAGTTCTGCAGAGGGGCAGAAATACCTTTGGATCACTTATCTTCCAAGATGGCTTGTGTGTGCATTTAGCATTATTGATTGTAGAATTGAATGTGCATTACATAGTGAACTAAAAGCAGACAAGGCAGCAACTGTACAATGCATTTACCTTGCTAAAATAACAATTTATAGCCATCTTTTGCTTAAGGAGGAACGGTGCAGAAAAATGAATTGCAAATACAGTAAAAAAGATTATAAAGCCCTCAAGTTGACTTTTTCCACACTTAAAATATCTCAATAAAGAAAATGAATGGTCTCAACAGAGAAAATGAAAGATTCTGTTTAATGCTGCTCTCCATAAACTTAAGTTAATTTTCCAAGAAATGGCAGAGGGAAGTTTCACTTCTTTCAGTTTATGTAACTATAGCCTTGGGACACTCTTGAGCTGACTAAAAAGTATTGTTATTTCATTATAAACTGAATGTTTTACTATTCTCCTGCAATATCTAGTGTCATAAAATATAGAAAATTCCATAATTTAAAACAACATCACAACTTTAAAAAGAAATCTGAAATAGTCAAGATTAACTCCCTCAGTGAATTAATTTCAAGTAAGAATTGACAGCATCCTCAATAGCAACAAGATCTGTGGTTACAACACTCAATATTTCTTCCCAATTATCAGTTGTTTGTGAAGTGGAAAATACTGAATAAGAAAGTAAACGTATCACCACCATGTTTTAACAGACAAGTGCTAACGATTTTTTATGACTAGTTGTTTAGGAAAAAACCCCACGTAACATAATTATAATTAAAAAAAAAAAAGACTGTGAAATACTTGCATTTTTTATTGCTGTTTTTAAAGTTCTGGAACAGAAACAAGGACGATTACAAAAAACAGTGTATGTCTAACTTATGAGAATGATTAATTTACAGCTGTTGACTTTTCTACTCTATCAACAGAAAAAAGCCTTAAATCTACTAAAAAACTGTAAGAAGGTAGACAACAAGTATCAAAGTTTTGCCATAAGAAAAGATAAAAATTCACAGACAGATGGAATAATGGCCTCCACTATTTAACTGCCATTTAAGAATTCCAGTGGCTAGCAACTTCATGAATGCCCAACAACCCGTACTTGACTTTACAGCACTGCTGGTGGCCATGGAGGTTTGTAAAGTGCACAGAATCTTTCTGCTTCCCACCGCTTCCACGGCCGGATGCACACCTGCATTGACTTCAGTATGCATTTATTCCTAGATTTGACAGATGTCAAGGACTGCAACACAACTATTCCACTGTTAATTATAACTACATACCTATAATGACTCATTATTTTGTATCTAAGTGGACAGTGGTCAGAAGGTATCAAGTGGTTATGTGGAATGCATGAAGACAGTAGCACAGAAACATCTCTGTGGTTGCTCTGAGGAAATTGATAATTGAAGGGAGAGAAGCAACAAACACACATTTGTCTATTGTAATCACTCATAGACTTTGATAGTGCCTGCTGACTAGTTATCTTTCTGCCCATACCAAGTAAGCCATTCTCAACCTTCAGGTGGTAGAGTACTTCCCTTATTCTCCCTCTTGCCTTATAAATGTTCTCAAAGGAACTGATGTCGTTAACTATTAAGGCCTTTTCCTAGTCTAGTCTCCAAAATGCACAATGGGAGTCATATCTAAAGACGATATGGAAACACATATTTGTATGTGCCTCTAAAGAATAACAGGCTTTTTTCGGTTTTTTGCAAAGCTTTGCAAGGAAGTGGTCTCACTCTAAGACAACTCTTGAAACAATTCCAGCACCCCTCTGGAAACTGAGTATGTCATAGTTGTGAAGTTGTTTGTGCAACTGTTTAGAAGATAATTCCTACTGATGTACTGAGAGTAGTTAATGTACCAAAATTAAAAGCCAAGTGTGAAAAACAGGGTGAAAGTGAAAAGATATACAAGGCAAGAAAACCTTTAATGAAGAACAGCTTTGTTATGTTCTTCCTTAAATTCAACTCTAAACAGCCAAAATCTCACCACAACTGAACCAATACATTGGTGGTTTGGTTTGCATTGTTTGTTTTTGTTTTTTAAACAGACCAGTTACACTCTTTGTGATAAACATACCACAATTTAAACCAGAACTGCCTCTACCCTTAACAAAAATTATTAGCATATTTCTTTGGAAAAGGGCTAACCTTACACCCATTTCCATGGGCGTGAGACTTTTAGTAGTCTTAGTACTTTTCGTATTTCAAAAAGCTTCATTAAAAACACATTTTTTCTGGTCTACATTTAATAAAATCCTGCTCAACAGCTGGTCAACTCACTAGTTAGAGAATAACATTACTATGCTTATGTCATCACCAAAAAAACCAAAAAACAAAACCCTCCCACTATTTAGAATCATATCAGGAAAGTATTCCAATGCTAAAGTGATCTGTACGTCAGGGATGCAAACAACACATTTCTCAGCAGGTTTCTGGGTTTTGTTTCTTTTTTTTTTTTAAATGCTTAAAATAGACTACAAACAGTTAATCTTCATGTGAACAGATTTTGGTGACATTTCCATGTATTCCTCTTCACTTTTTAAAAAGGAGAATTAATCATCTACAGGAGATTAAGCAAAGTCTCTTTGTAAGTATGTACATATACAAAGCTTGATGCTCTCTGTCCAATCTGTACCTTGGTAACCTTGGAACAACACTATCCTCAGGATGAACAGTTGAACCCTGACTATCAGTTGAATGCACTGTTCATCATTAGCTCTACAGTTGCACCCATAAAAGTAGCAGCAGATTGAGTAGTATTTAGTTATTAGCTTGTTATGAACTCAAACATAAGCAAACTTATACAGCATGACTAGTAAACAATATATATGCTTATTTGTACCAAGTGGCTCATTAAAAATAGTATTGCCACTGCTAGGAACAGGCCTTGGGCCCTATGCCAACTGTGTTCTTATGCCAAACATGCAAGGCCCAAATTCTGGCCTCTTATGCTTGTGAAATTATTAGGAGAACTTGTGTGAGCTAGAGCAGGGTTCCAGGTGTCTCTTGTCATGGTATGCAGGTTAGATATAAGAGAACAACAAAGGCCTTGAAAACACAGGCACAGGTTGAAAGCAGAGGCCCCAGGACTGTAAGCAACTCAGTCATGGTCAATTATTAGTCACTGAGTCACTGCAACCTTCAGATTTGGGGGGAAAAAAAAAAAACAAAACAACCTGCTTTTCTTTCAACAGCAGCAAAAGCTGATAAGGAAGAATAAAACTGCTAAACAATGAGAAAAAGCACCCACGACAACCTCGAATATCTTGCCATCAAGGACCATAGCTATCAGTGCTAAATACATGGCACCAGATCTGTGGTACTGTGTGCTCACAATTAATTTAAAATGAGATTGTTACAGACTAATTGCTTTGAATATGCAATGGTAATGACTAGGAATGAGTAAGAACTAGCTATTAGCAATGCATATTGTTACCAAATATCCATCTAGTGAAGTTTTGTTACAAAGTTTAAAGCTGTTTTAAAACTGTTTTATCAGCCTTCTAAGCCTTCAGTCACAGCAATCTCTCATTCTCTTCTTACATATATATACACAAACAACATGTATTCAGTTGCAACATCATGCCACCATGCCTGACCCCCTACGATTTGTTACTGTATCATAAACAGCTCAAATAGGTGCTCTTAAAAACCCATGCATCAGGACCCTAATGCAAACACTGATGTATTTTCCAGATTGTTTTCTGAAGAGGGCACACTGCACTTCTTTTGCAACTCTTTGGTTGTCTCCCTGTAGAACAACTTATTACAGACCAACAAAGGACAAACATCAAGATGTGAATTTCCTCTATTCTTATGAAGGGTGTGTTAACCTCAAAACTAACGGTA